GTTTAGAGTCCCAGTTGACAGCGTTTCAACTAACACGATATTGACAGAAACGTAAGTGAATTTTACGATAATGACAGAAACGTAAGTGAATTTTAAAATTGCTAAAGTTCTAGAGGTTAGAGTCCTTGTCAAACAGCGTTTTGACTAAAGTCCGAAAAACCTAGAGGTTGGAGTCCTTGTCAAACGGTGTTTTTGACTAACGTCCCAGAGGGTTAGAGCCCCAGTTAAACGATGTTTAACTGAAGTCCTAAAAGGGGCGCGGGTTTTAATGTTTTTATCTTTCTTCATATTTTTTTTTCAAAATCTTTCTCTTTCTCACCGTTTATTCAATGTCACATGCTGTTTTTATTTTAATTATGTAAAGCACTTTGAAATGCCTTGCTGCTGAAATGTGCTATACAAATAAAATTTGATTTGATTGATTGATTGAAGAGCTTTAAAATGTAATTTGACTCCACTGCGCCCCCTGGGTTGTTCCAACAGCTTTATCTCCTTAACACATTGGCCGATCTGCACCAGATGTTTTGTGCATTGTCAGGGAGCGCTGCTGAACACATCAATGTGTATCACCTAGTGGACAGGTGTGGGAACTGCGTGAGAGCGTTGACGTGGCGAGCGGGCAGTGTTGCTGAAGCTCCCGCGGTCGCCACGAGGCCGGAGCTGCACTGAGCTGTGAGGGCCTCCAATGCTGCTTGCAGCTTTAATTTCTAAATTATTCTCTTAAATAAATAGAATTTAAAACAGGTTGGACCTTTGATAAATTGTGTTACTGTTTCTAATATCTGTCCCTATTGTTTCTGCTGAAGAAATTACAGCTCAAACTGAATCTAAATGTTTAATTTTTTATTTTTGTTCAACTTGAATCAATCGGGAATGATTTACAGCAGAATTGGAGTTTATAAAAATGTTTACCTGCCATATTCATCATCACCTTCCTGCTTCATTTCTTCTCCTTTCTCATCCTCCTTTATTTGCCTTTCTTCTCCTCCGTTCACAGAAGAGACAGAGTTTGTGTGTATTTGACCTCCTAGAGATTCAAATGAAACAGTTTATAATAAGAAGCAGCTTTTAAAAAGCAGTTTTTCTTGCTAGTGCCACCTTGAGCCGCCTGCTCCTCTGGACCCCGCTGGGCGCAGCCGGTCGACACCGTGATGGAGCTGAGGAGCTCCCGCAGCTGCTCTCCGGTCACACACACCACGTCTCCGTCCTTCAGGCCTGCGTCCACGCTGCTCAGCACAGGCTGCAACACTCCGTCTCCGCGCTCACCGTTTGGAAACAGATCTGTTCTCCTTGGGGATCCCAGCGGTCTGACAGCAGAGCTGAGTTTGTGTTTGTTTGTCTTTACCTTCAGAGGATGCATACAAAGTTGCACATAGTGGCTTGAAAAAGGTAAATATCTCTTTTTGTTGTTTTTTTGATAACTATTATAGTATCTAAGACACCAAATGTTTTATATAATCAACTTTTATTTAAGGCATGCCTTAAAAAGTAGTTTTACTCTTCCACCATGCAAATATAATGCTTATTTTTGTTCTTATTTACACTCTCATATGAAAATGGCTGCATACAGATGAACAATTATACAACTGTGCATCTTTGAAAAGCAGATGTAGAGCCTCCTGCACAACAAACAAGAATGCAGTAAATGGTTTCTGGATGGTAAGTCAACAATAAAACACTTGTCTTTTTCAGCAGTGATTGCACAGCTGTAAAACCAGCTGACCAAACATGCTGGAGCTCAGCTGGGGTTGCTAAGTGACAGTGGAATTATGGCTGGGGTGCTAGGGAATGGGCTGCTTTACTGCTGATTTGAAACATTACATTTTGAAGGTTTTTGAAACGGCTCATTTCATTTAACTTACTTCCAACTGGACAGTGTTGAGACCCAAATGGAAATACGAAAATATGAATTTAACCTAATAGGTCCCCTTTAAATTGTACCAATACTGATCCAAACACGAATTATTTAGGCTCCGCCTCCCTTACCTTTGCCATGGCTTTACTGGCGCGCTCTTTGTGACGGCCTGGAGTTTTGGATGAATTCAGGACAGAGCTTCTACCATCAGTGGTGGAGATGCTGGAGCTGCAGGATGAAGCTGCTGCTGCTGCTTTACACCTGACCTCCCTGGGGCCCCGCGCAGCCTGCTGAGCTGTACGCTCCTCAGGCTGAACCTCCTCCAGGCAGGACGGCTGCCTGGCACTCAGGATGCTAGCTGCTCTGTGCTTACTGGGCAGCTACAGGAAACGCATCACAAACCATTCAGGTGAACAAAAGCCTTAAAGATTAACACATTTATTTATTTTAATTATTTTTTTCTCCTTTCAGCCTGGAATCATTTTCAGAAGAGACTAAGCAGTGCTGGATATTAATATGTAGCTAAAGACAACAGATGTTGATGTTTCTTACCTTTATTGGATTTTTCACAACACCTGCTGTAAAAATAAACCAAACAATGAGCCAAAAATATTAGAAAAGCATAAAATTAATATATTAGTATTACTTAATATTAAACATAGACATTTTTAATCATTTAAATTTTACAGCAATCAATTTTTATCATAAGCAGCCAAATTAATGAAATGGTTGTTAAAGCAGATATGTTAGTATATTGAAGCAAAATCTACTGCAATCAAATGCAAAGATAAACAAATAATTTATCCCAAAATATTGCCATAAAGGTAAGTTGGGAAGGGTGAAAGCCTCACCATGAGTGAGTAAAATCAGTCTGGGTTTTCCATTTTCCAGCTCAAACAGCAGACCATCTCTGTTCAGGAACAATAAGAGTCATTAGAGCACAAAATAGAGAAGAAAACAAACACCAGAATCATAAGAGACAAAGAGATTTAAATTAGAATTTTAAAAACCTGAAATAGATTCTAAAAGAGTTTTTCTGTTTAGCTTCTACGAATTCTTCCTCAGCAAACTACACTCAGAATCCCACAATGACAAAATCAAACAAAATTTTATATGGATTTAATAATTTATTTTAAAAATATTGCATTTAAATAAGCATCAAGACATTTTATTTACAATGTAGTTGAAACACTCCTGGGAGAAAATTTTAGTTTATAGGTACACCAGGAGTTTCTGACTGGATGAACAACTTTCAAAGATATTAATCCTTCATTTATTCCAGAAAATATTACTGGGATTACACTGCAAAAACACAAAATCTTATCAAGTATTTTTTGTCTGGTTTCTAGTGCAAATATGTCAGTGCACTTGAAATAAGTTAAAACTAACTTAAAGTCTCCTTTCAACAAGATATAGGAGTTTATTTTCAGTCAATAATTCCTTGATATTGATAAAATTGTATTAATTCCACTGGTAGATTATTTAATTTGTAACAGTCCCACAGAACGATGCTTCCATCACCATAGTTCACTGTTGGGTTGGTGAGGAGCGTTGTCTGGTTTCCTCCAAACTGAATACACTTTAGAACAGATCCGTCCTGCCAACAACCTTCAGCATCGACAACAACTCTTTAGAGAAACTTTGATAATATGAGTTGCATTTAAATTTTCCCCTGAGCTGAACAAAGTATTTCTGAATTTAATTTACAGCCACACACCTCCACTGCTCTGAGAGCTGTAGTATCTGACCCACTTAATGGATCAAATACATTATGGATACACATAGTCTGAATATGATACTCATAATTTAATATCCAACTAAAAACATTTTGCACACACTAACATGTTCTCCAACTGCCAGCAAGAATCTCTGGCATAAAAGGTGTGGATCTTCACACAAAAGTCACCTAAAGTTTTAAATATTCTGATTTTGATGATGTTTCAAATATTTATTTTTAATACATTTACGAATTTAGATTATTTTTGCATCAGGAAGCAACATAATAACTGAGCAAAGTGAAGGGCATGTGTATAATATACATCTTACAAATTTTGTATAAATAGTCATTATTACAGTTGAAACCATAGGTTTGCATACACTCAATAAAAAAAACCACACATTTAAATTTCTCACAGTCTGAAGTTAAATCAGCCTGTCTTTCTCTTGTTTTGGTTTAGTTAGAATTAAAATTATTTACATTTACTAAATGCATCAATACTGAGAAAGAATTGTGTTTATTGATGTCTTCAAAATGATTTGGTAGTATTGCCTCTGAACTGTATGACTAACAGACCTAAAACAGTTACAGTTTGGTCTGATTTAACGTAAGACTGTGGGAAAAAAAAGGTGCATGTCTCTTTTTATTAGTAAATAGCAAATATATGTACTTGAGATAGTGCCTTGAAATCAAATTAACATTTCTACTCTTTGGAATATCTTTGCTTCACTTCTCGTCTAGAAAAAGATTACGTAAACGTGGGTTAAGTTTGATTGATTTTTTTAAATTAATGAATAAGCATTCATTAATGTGCAATTTCACTGCGACACCTTAGCTATTCAGTGTTTTAGCTTAGCAAGCTGTTCAGCAGCAGACTCACCCAAGGTTCATGTCGAGAAAAATATACACCGAATCAGCAGCAGATTTACAAACAAACTTAATATAATATAAAATGAGTGACTAGCAGATTAATTTTCATAGTTAAAATGGCACGTTAACTGAGCACTGATAGCTAACAAGCCAATTTCTGGGGGAAAACGGTTGCCTACGTTGGTTGCTACCTACGAACAACAAGGGTGTCACCGATTGGCTAATCTTTGCTGTATTTAAAATTACTGACCAATGAAAGGTCTTCATTTTTGGACGTTTAAATTTGATGACGGTGCATTCATTGACACTCGGGATATATTAAGGCTGAAGCTAACTTTGTTTTAATGACAGTAATTTATCATACAGTGGTACATTTGAAAGATGAAAGATATAAACTATGTAATAGCTATCAGAAACAAGCCATAATTTTAGCATTAAAACTTTCGTAAAATTATGACTTTGAAAGTAAATATTATAACCATCACTAAAAAATATGGCTTTAAATATCATGAATAATACCCCGTACCATAACACTGTCTATCTTTCAAATGGTGGACATGTGAAGTTGCATAAATCCTCTGATGTAAGTGAAGGCACTGTTTCTTGTATTTGGCAGTCCCGCAGGAAGGTGGCGCCAAAGCGCCGGAGTCGTCTTAATGAACTGTAAAATCTAAACAGTCTGCATTAACCCTAACCGGAATAACGGTCGTTAATGAGTTAGAGCACCGAGGATCAAGATTGATGAGCTCCTCCGGTCCACCTCGCCTGTCCTCAGTGACGTCCAGCGTGCTCCCGGTGATCCTGAAGGTGTGTTGTTGTTGTGACAGCTTGGTGCAATCTAACCAGAGAGGCTGCGTAACGTCAGTCCGTGATGTTAGCCAGCGTCGTTAGCATGCGAGGCTACTTAACGGCAACTAGACTCTGTGTAACGACAGTGTTTTCCGGGCGAGCCTGAGGGTCAGAGCTGCTCGTAAGGAAGGTGGAAATACGAGGGACGATGGTATTAAACGAGGTGATGTTTTATTTTGAATCTAAGCTTATTTAAATGCTGAAAGTGATCGACTTATTTCTCTTGCTGGTTGTCAGGCTAAGGTCAAGAAGCTGGCCAGTTCGGCAGCTAACGCTAACTGATACCTGTCTCTATAAACGTGTAATGTGACAGTAAGTCTTTCTGCTAGCGGGTAATGGCCGAGCCTCTGGATCAGGAGTTAAGATGTTGTTTTTATAGAGGTGGCTCTCCAAAAGTTTCATTCGCTGGAAGCTACTGTGTACTGTGTAGCTCTATGTAAATATGATTATACCAAAGACCAGAGGCGTTGGTAGGTTTTACCACCCGGGGACTCAGCCCTGCTAACACATATTTAACTATTTATAGGAATTTATTGATTTGAATAAATCAGTATTTGCTTGAATATGTTATAATTAGGGCAAAATCTGCATTTGCACTTTATCAGTTCATTTTATAAACATCTGAACACTAACATTTTAGCTTAAATAAGCTTTATATAAAATAGGTTGTCTTTGATCATGCAAGTCCTTTGTGGTTTTATATAAATTACTACATTTTCTTCACTTAGTTTATTTGTTTACATTTATGTTAATCATTCAAATTGAAAAATACTTTGATTTATCCCAAAAGAAAATTAATTGTTATCATCCAAGTATCTTTGAAGAGAGTGGATGGTGATGCTGTGTGCATCAAAGAAGGACCTCCAGTAGCAGTCAGTCATGCAACGAATTTGAAGAATCCTCTGATTGAAGACTGTTGCTGTATCACTGTCAGGACATGCTAACAGATACATTTTCATGCAACAGAGACTACAGGAAATATAGTCTCTGCTGCATGAAGAGATGACACGACATGTCCCATATGACACGAACAGTTGTTGGCAATCACTGCTAATCCACCTCATTTCCTATCTGAATATACAGTTAGAAAGCCAGGCAGAGAAACTTTGATTGATAGAAGAAATATTTGAACCTCCTGCTCTGCACCATTGAAGCCTCGTTTTCAACCCCTCTGGAATTTGTGTTGATAATTCAGGTGTTATTTGAGTTTTTAGATGCTAATCCGTTTCTCCCAGTTGTAAAAAAAAAAAAACGATACCTTGTTGCCATGGTTACGCATGATAACAACTGTAAAAAGGCAAAAAAGTAGGATCAAAAATCCTTCCAGAAACAGAAGGAATATCTCAACCAAAAAATAAATAGGAAAACTATTATAGCAGACTTTTATTTTTTTTGCTCGATTTTTAAAAACAAAATATCTCTGGTGTTTGGATTATTTATATGGATTTAGAAACAGTTCTGTTAATAATAATAATATTCAAAAACGTTTATTTTTGTGTGTGATTTCATGTTACTTAGGTGGTTACATGTTGTAAGAAAATATTTTTTTGCTAAAGTTTTGTTTTGACACCTGCTTGCATCCAGGTTTCCTTCCTTGTTTACTTGCTCTACTTCAGATTTTCTGACATCTGAAAATCAGCCATTTGATGATATTTGTTTGATTAGACGGCTTGAATTATGCTGATTGTGTTATCTTAATGCACGGTTGCCTAGTCATGCTGCTTTATGAATGATCGTTTTATTAAATAGGCAGTGGCAGTTATCAGCTCGCACTGGGAGCGACTGGAAGCTTTAAACAGGATGCAGTGGCTTTTGTGGCTCCAGCATACTGCCAGATATTCTATTTTAATAACCTCTCCCCTCTCATACGGCTTGTATGAGAGGGGAGATGGCATCACAGCATTAGGAGGAGAGGAAAAGGATGATTTGCTTATTATTTACCAGACATTTCTCTGGAAATCCAGGGAAAACATCCAAAGCTAGTGGACATTTTAAGCTCTGTATAGTCAGTCATTGTCCGGTTAAATGGGAACGTTATTTTTCTGAAACTCGGTTTGTATTCAAGCCAGAAAAGTAGAGCATTTTGGAAATAATGACTTGGACTCCCGCTGAGCTGTCTCCATATGTCCAGTCTCCTGCCACCATCCTTCTGGTGGTTTTTTTTATTCGCTCCTGAAAACCGTCCTCTTGTAGTATTTTATATTTTGTTTTTATCTGACATGGGCTACTGTTTCAAATCAAACATGGCGGATGACGCATCTGATTTTTGCAGAAGTTTTCAAAGGCTGAAGTAGGTCTTATTGTGAGGCTTAGATGTTTGTAAAGTTTCTCCCAGTTACTTCCTGATAAGGCAGAAAAAAAAACACTTGAATGTTTTTATATTTTATTTAAATCTCCTGAATGGAGATAAACTGTCTGTCTTTGTCCTGGTTTCCCTGTTTAATGTTTAGACACACATTTGATTGGTTAAAGCCAGGCCTGTGTATTTTAATGTCCAGAAAATATCAATTTTACTTCATTCTCTTTTAATTATATTTAATGGATAATATATGTATCTAAGTGATTCCAAACATCCAGCCACTGTCTATGCTACACCTGTCACAATAATTAATTCTGCTGGACGGTAAATTGTCCCAAAAATATTTGATAAACGATAATGTTGTTTTGAGACCACTTTGAAGTGATGTAACAGTAGTGGCATAATAAAAACAAATTCTCAAAGACCAATAAACTTTAAATTCTAATGAACATTTAACACTGGAACTGGAAGACATTTTAAATATCCAAAATAAATAAACAAAGCAGCAGAAACAATAAATAAAATGAGTTATGAAGTCTCTGTAAACAAAATTGTCTTTCCAAAAAAGGGCTAGTTGAAAAGACTGAAAACTTTTCATTCAGTTTTTAGTAGAAAGAGAAAAGAGGAAAAACAATAAATCATGCAAATGGAAATGATTGAGTTTGTTTTAATTTATTGCGCCATTATTTGATTTATTGTTTATTGCGACAGTTCTAGTTGAGACCCTGAACAGGTCAAACGCCTAAGGAGAATATAAGAGACCAGTTAACCCAGCAGTCACGTTATTGGACTGTGGGAGGAAGCGGAGTACCCAGAGAGACCCAGACATGGAGAACATGCAAACCTCAAGCAGGAAAACTTTCATTAAACCAAACAGGCTAAACAGAAAATCAATACAAGTCATTATTACATTATAAAAACACTTTGAATTAAAACTGATTATGATTCAAACGAGGCAAATAAACCGTTAAGTTTCTGTGTGCATAGTTCAAAAGAAAATCCTTTTAATTAACTGAAAAATAACTTAATCAAAACAAAACAGAAGCCATTATTAGAAGCTGTAATGACAATATGAGATTTCCCACGATTCTCTCTTCTTCACCCGTCGTTCTGATGCTTCCTGATCTGTAAGACCGCCAGCAGGTTGGGTCCCATCACCTGGCTCACCTGTGAGGGTCCGTTACTGTGACACTTATCAACAAGCTGCATGTAATGCAATGGAGATTTGTACAACAGAGTATTAGAGCCAGACTGAAGTAGTTTTAAATTAAGAGAGTAAGTTGTAAAAATAGGAGGAAAAATGTGGCTTTAATTAGAGAAAAGCTTTAATAGAGCAAATGAGCTCTGATGTGACCGTCTCAGCAAATCACTCTGGTTGTTTTCTCCAAAGTATACGCAGCCATTTGTAATATTAGAACCAAACAAAGTTAATTTTGATTTTTAAAACTGAGAATGAAGTTGTAACAGAATGAAGAAGTAATATTAAAAAGATAAAGTAGTGATTTAACTGCTAGGTGAATCTTAGCGCGGCGATAAAATGAGAAATGTTGAGCATCGTGTGAAGTTATAAACTAGTGTTAGTTTTATAAATAGGGAAATATTTTATCTTTCCACACATCATAATTATTGTACAAACGACCGCAGAGCCACCAAGCTGGTCACATCAGACATTAATAACTGTTGGAGCTTTTTTCTAATATAACAACTTTTTTCTCAGAATTTTGTGTCTTTATCCTGCTAATATTATGACTGTATTCTCTTAATGTTATGACTTTATGATGTATCTGAACAGTCGTTGATAGATTTCTGACCGTTGTTTGGGACTCAGTGCAGCGATTATTTTTATCTGTACCAGAGAAGTGAGCATGTTGTGTGTGAGGTTGTCGTTGATGTTTCTTCAGTTTTCTCCTTTATTTTGCTGAAAAGGTGATTCTTCAGGTTAAAAACAGAATAATTTATCTGGAGACGGAACCAGAAGCTCTTTTCTGCCATGAGATCTGATTTGTGATGTGAATGTTTCTCATTTAAAGAAGACAGACTGGCATGCTGGGTGCTGTGGCTGCTTGCTCAGGTTTGTGGTGTCAGAAGAGGCTGTGTGTGTGTGTGTGTGTGTGTGTGTGTGTGTGTGTGTGTGTGTGTGTGTGTGTGTGTGTGTGTGTGTCTCTGTGTGTGTGTGTGTCTCTGTGTGTGTTGTAGCTGATGTGGTCTGTCTCCCTGCCCAGGCGAAGGTTAAGGGGACACATTGTTCTCCTGGTTTTCTGTGTGTATCACTCAGCAGCTGTTGGATTGTGTCAGGGGACCCAGCAGCAGCAGCTGTGTTTGTCTTACGTTCTTTTATTTTTTTTATTTTTAAAACTCAAAAGACGTGAGTTTGGGTTGGATGGCACCTCAAAAGTGTTGCATCTTTTTCCCAAAACTGTCTTCCAAAATCTTGATTCGTCATTTCAATAGTTTTATTTTTCTTTTGCCATTTTTATTTCTTCCTCTGTTGTCTTAGGTTTTTCTCAGTTCCTGTATTTTCTGTTTACAGATGTTAGAAATATATGAAACAAGACTAAACTAACTTACAAGCAACTTTTCAGTAAGAAATAGGAGCTTGTATAAAGTCAATAATTTCTTAATACTCATTTTAAAAAAGTACTTAATCCATTGGCAGATG